TATTACTAAAGTTAAGAGCTCTAAAGGGCAATGCGGGATATTAGCATGCAATTGACAGACCTTGCATCTTCTGACCAAGTCAGTGGCATCCGTGAGCATGGTGGGCCAGTAATACCCCTGTCGTAGCGTCTTTTCCGCAAGAGCCCGAGCTTCGATGTGGTTACCATAGACCCCCTCATGGATTTTCCTAAATATGTAATTGGCGTCTTCGGCTCCCACACATTTAAGGAGAGGTGTTGAGAAATCTCGCTTATATAAACTTCCCTGCAAAATAGAAAACCTAGCTGATATGGATCTTAGCTTTGCAGCCTCTTTGGGATCTTCTGGCAAAGCTCCATCCTTAAGGTATCCAATGATGGGGTCCATCCAGCTCGATGAGGTGTGCACAGGCAGCACCTTTTCATCTTCTCTGCATATAGATGGTTCAGCTAGGTGCTCCACCGAAATTAATCTGTCCAAACTTTCCTGAGAAGCTGTTGTTAGCCTCGCCAGGGCGTCTGCTCATGAGTTTTCAACTCTTGGGACGTGTCTAATCTGGACTCGTACAAACTTCTTGATCAGCTCATGTACCTTCTCGAGGTAAAACACCATTTTTTTGCCTCTAGTCCCGTAAGACTCTTCTATCTGCTTTATTACTAGTTGAGAATCGCTACAGATCTCCAACTGTTCTGCCTCCATTGAATGGGCAAGGTTGAGTCCAGCTATGATAGCCTCGTATTCTACCTCGTTGTTTGAAGCCTTAAACCCAAATCTGAGTGCGTATTCGACATCTACTCCATTTAGGGAGGTTAAGATTAAGCTTGCCCTGCTCCCCTAAGCATTGACGGCTCCATCTACTGAAAGCTTCCATGTGGGGAGGTCGGGTACTAGCTGCGTAGTCTTCAGAGGTTTTGGTGTCGTGAATTCTGCAATGAATTCCGCTAAAATCTGCCCTTTGACTATAGTTCTTGGCTTGAACCTAATATCAAACTCGCTGAGCTCTATAGCCCACTTTATTAGCCTTCCTGAGGACTCCGGTTTATGTAGCACTTGCTTCATTGGCTGCTCTGTTGGTACCTCGATGGTGTGCGCCTAGAAGTATGATCTAAGTCTCCTAGCTGTGGTTACCAAAGTAAAAGCTAGTTTCTCCATTTTTGGGTATCTCTCATCTGCCCCCCTCAAAGCTCTACTGCAGTAGTAGACCGGCTGCTGAGCTCTGTCTCTCTCCCTCACCAGAGCTGCACCGGTCGAGAAATCTGAAACAGCCAGATATAGAGGGGCTTGCCAGCAGAGGTGGGGAACTCAGGTAAACCTTCAGAGCCCTAAATGCCTCTTCGCATCAAGTATCCCAATGGAATGCCTTTTTTAGGACTTGAAAGAAAGGTTGACACTTGTCGCTTGATCTGGACACAAAGTGTCCCAAGGCTATTATTCTCCCTGTCAGGCATTGGATTTCTCTTACGTTAGATGGTGGCTGCATATCTAGGACTGGCTTAACTTTTTCGGGGTTAGCCTCTATTTCTCTACTGTTTACTATGAAACCCAGAAATTTTCCCGCAGATACTCCAAAGGCACATTTGGCAGGGTTTAGCTTCATCTTGTATTCCTTAAGGACTTGAAACGATTCTACTAGTTCTGCAATGTGGAGCTCTGCCTTCAGTGACTTCACCAGCATGTCATCGATATAGACCTCCATGGATGTTCCAATTTGCCTTTGGAACATTCGGTTCACCAGACGTTGGTAGGTAGCTCCCGCGTTCTTCAACTCAAAAGGCATAACCTGATAGCAGTAAGTCGTCTGCTCAGTCACGAAAGAGGTCTTCTCCTGGTCGATTGGATCCATCTTGATATGATTATAACCTGAGAAAGCGTCCATAAAACTGAGGAGTTCGTGCCCAACGGTGGCATCCACTATTAAATCTATTCGGGGTAAAGAAAAACTATCCTTAGGGCACGCTCGGTTGAGATCAGTAAAGTCTATGCAGAGTCGCCATTTGCCGTTGGTTTTCCTAACAAGAACCACGTTGGCCAACCAGGTAGGGTAATCTACTTCCCTGATGGCTCTATCGTGAAGAAGCTTGCCGACCTCCTCATTGATTACCTTCTGCTTGATGGGCTTGCAGGTAGGATTCACACTCAGCTTTTGAATGATAACCAAGGGGTTAATGCCTTCCATGTCTTCTTGTTTCCAAGCGAACACCCCCATATTCTCCTTCAGGAACAGGATGAGAAGGTCCTTAACCTCTCTACTCAGTTTAGTCCTAATGTAGATGAGATGTTCTAGCTCTTCATCAAGCTGAAATGGCTCCAGCTCATCTAGTAGTATATTTTCAACTTTTTTCTAGCTTCATCGAAGTCAAGTAACATTCCCTTGCAACCCCTTGATCTCCTCGGATCACTCCAACTCCATTTTTCGTAGGAAATTTCATGACCAGATGATAGGCCGAGGGGATGGCCTTCATTGCATTGAGAGAAGGTCTCCCGAGCAGCATGTTGTACGTAGAGGGGGCATCAATCACTACAAATATTATTGTAGCGGTTGCCTGACAGGGGGGTCTCCCATAGTGAGCACAAGCTGGATTGAGCCCAGTGGCAACACCCGTTCTCCTATAAATCACAACAGGTGAGTATTCACGAGCTCCAACTTTTCCCTTCCTATGCTCATTTTGTCAAATGCGAAAGCAAATATGATATCTGCTGAGCTTCTGTTATCTATCAGAACCCGGTGAACAGTTCTATTGGCCACAACAGCCCTTACCACCAGCTGGTCATCATGCGGGTGTTGATATCCTTCCAAGTTAGCCCTTACCTTAGATACAACGAACACTTCCAGAGCCTCACCAGCTCTGATTCTACGTAGGTGGGCTTTCCTAGCTGAACTAGATTTCCCGCCTCCTGCAAAACCCCCTGATATTATCCTGATCTCTTCTAGGGGTTGTTGGTGTTGCGCAGGAGCCTGCTGCTGAGGTGGTGAGGCTCGATTCTGATTCTCCTGGGCTATGTAACGACGCAACTGCCCTCGTTGGATCAGGAACTCTATCTCCTTCTTCAACTGAATGTAGTCATCAGTATGATGACCATGGTCCCTATGGTACTTACAGTACTTTGAGGGGTCCCTTTTCGCCGGTTCTGCTTTCATCCGAGGTGGCCACCTCAAAAATTTTCATTTTGTACTTTATACAAGATTTGCAATATTGTTGTGGTGAGTGGGGGAATCTACCGAGGTGCGTACCTCGGCTACAGCTCTGGATGAGGTTGTCCCAGGCGATCTCTAACGTCTCCCCTTCTTTTGGGGGAGCAATCTCTGTCTCTTCTTGGGGACCTATTTCGTCCTCTCTCTCTTCTGGGACTTCGACCCCTTTTTTTCTCCTATTTTCCTTTGTCTTTTTGCATGGATGAGCTCCCCACTTTTGAGAGGAGAGCTTCTTCGCCGTTTATGTACTTTTCTGTCTTGGCCAGTACTTCGGCCATTGCTGGCTTGGGGATTTTTCAAATAGAGAATATCAGGTCTTTAGATTGTACGCCTAAACCAGCTATAAATGCAATAATGACAAATTTCTCGTCTGGGACATCCACTTTTAGCGATTTCGAGTTGAACCTCTGAACATAAGATCTAAGGTTCTCGTGGGTTCCTATTTCACATTTAGCAAGTGATAACTCGACTTTCTGTACGTTCGAACTCCTATAAAGTGAGACATAAAGGATATGGATAGCTCCTTAAAGGAGGATATTGAGGCTGGGGGAGCCTATTGAACCATGCTAGGGCTGAGCCTTTCAGCGTGATGGCAAAGGCTCTGCAGCGCACTAGATCCTGGTATCCATGCAACTCTATCTGGTTCTTGTAAGTGTTGAGGTGATCTACGAGATCCTTTGTTCCATCAAAAGCCTCTATCTGCGGTACTTTGAATTTCAGAGGGAGGGGAAAATGCAGCACGTCAGTGGTGAACGGAGATTCAATCTGTTGTACCAAGGCATCCATCGTAACTAAAGCCTTGCTTCTCACGGCTTCCTTCATGTGGCTAAGTTCTTGCTGAATACCCTAGAATCGCTGCTTCCAGTACTGTTATCTCCTTTCCTGTTGATAGGGGAAAAATCGTTCCTCTCACCCCCGTCATTCTAACTTTGTACTTCTTCATTGTGTCATTCCTGGGGGGTATGCGAGGTTCTGGCCCCATGGTTTGACTGTTTTCCCCTTCTTTGTTGACTTCCCTGAGGGAGTCGAGGTGTGGTTGCTCCCTATGTGGTGGGTTGTTCTAGCCTTCTCGAGCCTGTCGCGCCTCCTGTGGGCGTTGTAAGAGCTTTAAGAGTTCTTCGTTTTGTTTCAGCAAGCGTTGATTGACGAGACGAAGGGCCTCCATCTCGTTATTCATGGGGAGACCCCCCACGGGTGGATTGGTCTCTTGGATGTTCTCAGGTTGTCTACTATTAGTAGCTTCTTGTTTATCTTGCATCCGTGGTGGATTTGTTTGACTTCAACTCATATTTCGCATTGATACTATCAGTCACTGAAAGATCAATTTATTTATAACAGGAACAATCATTTTCCACAGACAGCGCTAAACTAATGGTGTATTCCAACACGATGCAATTTTGTGATGACGAATAAATGAAAGAAACAATATTGAAATTATTGAGATCTGAGCTACTAGACTTGAGGGAATGATACTGGGAATTGTTGGAGAGTTGGAGAATTAACATAATAGAAATATAGTGGTTCACAAGTTCGGGAGCTCGACTAATATACTCTTTAATGGAGATTCTTGCTTTTTCACTATTTACTATACCAAAAGGTTTACAGAATGTAAGATGTGATACTAGGGTTCTGCCCCTCTGTTGGGGGTGTTACATAGTATTTATAGGGGTATCCCTTAATCTATGAGATTTGATCCGTGATCCTTGCTATTTATCCGAGGAATTCTCCTTGATCTTAGGAGAGTATCCTAGTTGGTTGAGAATTTTGTGTCTTGAGTGTTACTTCAAACCGCCTATTGAGTTCTTTGTAGAATCTAGTTGCTTCCTCATTACTTCAGCTTATTATCTCGCTTGAGGGAAGCTCTAGCTCTGGTTTTTTGAGCTCTGCATAGCTCTGACTTTCTGAGCTCTGCATAGCTCTGACTTTTTGAGCTCAGCACACCTGACCTCCATGTTTGACCTCCGTTCCCGAGCTCCTGCTCGGGAATCATTTTGAGTATCATCAGTATCTGTATCGTTCAATCCCAAACGTTCATAAAAAATCTTTTAATGCATCTGGCCACACGCCAATCACGTGGAACTAAATAAATACAAATTAAAAATTTTAGGGACTAAATAAATACAAAATTAAGAAGTACGTGATTAGCCCATGACCAAAATCGTCACTAACACAAATGTAAAATAAGAATTTTAGAGACCAAATAAATATTACACGTGTACTTTGAGAGAAAAAAATGTATTTTACGGTAACATGAATGCTCTTTCCATACAAGAATGGAACACAAACAACATCCACACATGCCACAGAATATTTACGATAAAGATGAAGGATTGTACTACGTGCGAGGCATACTTACCTTGGCTCCAACTGGGCAATTACGGCCACTCTTTCGACATTCCCAGAAGCCAGCTCCCCTCGCATCAATTGTCCCACCACGGATTGATACCATAGATACCTCAGGAAACAAGATCCAGCATCCAGAGTTCCCTAACGCACGATAGTCCTGTGGTGCAACAAGAGTTCCATCAATCCTGAAAAATACTCTTCCCTTGAATGGCCCACTAAAAATTATAGGTTTTATCAAGAACGTCCCAAAAGGAACGTATATCGTAGCTGTTTCAACTGAGCTGCATGCTGCCATCCAAGCTCGGAGGAATGGTGAGGTCGAGTCAGTTTGGCCATCGGGTTGGGCACCAAAATCGACCACATTATAGGCTGCAATGGGAGATGTCAACCATACAAGGAAGAAGAACAAAACAGAAGAAGTGATTAGCTTAGACATGTTCTTTGAAATTGAAGAGGTAGAACTATACAAGTATATAACAAACGGATGACAATGAAACTTAAAACAAATTAAAAAAAAAATATAGTGGAATTACTTATATGTTCTAAGATCGGGAATTGAGGGTTGCTTCATGTCATAAATTTATTGCTAATAAACAAGTCAATTGAACTTATTAGCATATATATAACGTTCTAGGCATGTACCAGCCTTGCATGAATTCTTGGGATTAGTATTAGAATTTAAGAAAAACCAGAGCCAATATTATGATTATTAAGTTTTGAAATTTAATTAAGAGGTACAAGAATACTACAACTGAGAATTGAAGTTAAAAGAACTTAATATAATTTATTCCCTCTCAGTAGCCGAGCTATTTAGAGAGGACTCAACTCGAGTTTAGCTCATGTTCTAAACGAGTTGAGGCTTAAATTTATAAAATTCGACTCGTTTATATATAAAATAATCGAGCTACTTGAGCTCAGTTCAGATTTGACTCTTTTTGGACTTAACTCAGACTCGGCTTATTTTCTAAACGAGTCAAATTTGAATAATTTTTTAAGTTTGTTTTAAAAAACGATCTCAACAGACTCGACTTGATTATTAACCCTATCTTTAAGATTGTGTGTTAAGGGGTTTACAAGATCCTAGTGGTTTATTGAGAAACAATTAAATTAAGTGTTACCCAGTACTGAGCATGTACAATTTTTGTTTGAATTCTGGGGATTGGTGTCAGTTTCAAACATTAATATGGATTAACCTCTCTTCATGGAACCTTCCATTTATAACGGGCCTACGAGTAATGCATGTGGATTAGTAAGTGATTGAGAAAGTGAATGGAAGTAATTGGATTGGAGAGGTTTCATATTACAAATTTGACCATTTATTAAAATGTATTTTTTTTGGTTTGACTGTGTATATATTAATGCAGGGACAAACGGAACGCATCAAGCATTAGTTTTCTGCCGTGATCACCCTGCGACTTCTTAAGTCCTTTCCTTCAAATATCATAGGGGGTTACATTTCCAACACTTCAAGATAAAAAGAGTGAGATTACTTCCAATAAATTGTTCTTTCATTTTCCTCTTTAATAGCTCAGCTTCGATGAGTTAAAGTGGAACCATTGAAAATAAATTGGTCCATCATAAATAGATATGTACCAAGGAAGAAATTAAGAGAAAAATATCGAAGGAAATCTTAGTACAAGACAAGGGGTCTCAAAATGGTAGACTTGATTCATTTCATTCAGTCATGACAAAATAACCAACCTATTTTTCTTTTGATAGCTAGAACAAGGTGGTATGCATTTCACGTATCAATGATTCTATGTGGAAGCTATGATCATAAGATGCTTTTTCCCCACAGTATCCACTATGTTTAAGACTTTTACCGGAAGAAAATAACTATTGTGGTCTGAGTTAATGCACATTTCACTCATAGAGACACAGACAGAGCTCTTCCTAGCTACTTTTATGTTTTGCAAGGTAGATCAGTTTCATTCCAAAGTGTTTGTGACATAAAATATAAAATTATGAAAACATTCGATGCATTTGTTTTTGGAAAGTCTAAAATCATTAAAAAATTATCACGTGTCAAGATCTGAAGAAAAGGCAGAAAGCAGCCGGCCAGAGCTCTGGTTTGAAAGAGGAAATAACTGTCTGAGAGTTACAATAACTGTCGATAAGGAAGAAACCGTCGAAAGAAATGGCTATAAAAAGAGGAAAAGAAAGAGTTAGAAAGACACAACTCAAACCCTCCACAAAACCCACGATCAAGGCATTTTGGAGTAGTGTTAGATTTAATTTTTAGGAAGTAGTTAGTGTTATAATCAAAGACTGTTAAATCAGTCACCATGTAACTGAAACCTATTCGATTAAATTAATAAAATAGTCTGCTTTTATTGATTCATTATTTTGTGTCTATCGCTTTAAGAATTCATTCAAGGAAGTCTTGAAACAAGATATTAGAACCCATTCACAAATAATCGCCTGAAAATTGTCTGTCGATTGAAGCATTTTTATCGATCGCAACACATTTTGAAGCAACACAATTTTGTGCATCATGTCGGATGTTGGTGAATTTATATAAGGTCAAATGTTAAAGCCATCAATACCCCCCTCCCAAAAAAAAGATAAGAAAAGAAAGAAACTCAAAAATATTTCCCCTTGTCTTCTAATGCACGAGCTATTATGAGAGGCAAATATAATACAAACAAGTATACATAAACAGCTAAACTAGCGGTAACCCTTGCAATACCCTAGCAATGACATTCTTCAATGCATCGTATAGATATTTGAAATATATCAAAAACAATTATTAACTTTAAATTACACATAATTTCAATAAAAAAAAATTGAATTATTTCTTCAAAAAAATGAATAACAAAATTTGAATTCATTATGAAAATTTGTGAAAAGAAACTGTGTTATTGATTGCCGAATACATTGCTGTTTCTCTTCCACTTATGTGTTATGATCAATAGTTATAGACACAACTAGAGGTGATAAATCGGCGGGTTGGGTTGGTTATGAGCAGGTTCAAAATGGGTCGAGTGCAAAACTAATTCAATTCGTTTTTAACCCGCATAATAAACAAGTTATAACGAGTTGGATCATAATAGGTTGAGTTAAACCTATTAACCTATAAAATAATTAAAACTCTTAATATAACACATAGTAATACACTAAATACAACACGTGTTAATGCACAAAAAAAAAAAATACACACTAATATATCAAAACACACATACTAATACACTAAAAATATATATGCACACAAATATACTAACACAAACACATTTATTAAAATACCAAAAAATACAAACACACATATACTATTACATCAAAATACACACACATATATTAACACATCAAAATACACACACACAGTAGTATACCAAAACACACCCAAACTAATGTACGAGGACACACATACATACGCGTACACTAAAACATATACTCTCACACTAATACGCCAAAATACACACATGTTGAAATACACATACACTATTACACCAAAACAGACACATAAACTACTACACCAAAATACACACACACACACACACTAGTACACCAAACCATACACACACACTAATCCACCTGTTTGGACCCAAAATATAAAATTCTGAGAATATTCAATGTATTAACACCTAGAATCCCATATGTATTGAGGCAGTGCCACGTGGCAGAATCTAAGGGAAGGCGGGAGATAATAAGTCACAACCATATTTGAAAAGGGAGAAATAATTAACTGAAAGTTATCAGTCAGTAACCATTGGTAGAAGCAAAATCGTTGAAAATGATGGCTATAAAAAGGCACATAGTAAAGAAGATGAGGATACACTCAAACCCCCAAAAGACATACGATCTTGGCATTATTAGGAGTAGTTTTAGATTAGTTTTAGTAGGCAAATAATGTTGTAATCAATGTTGTTTATTCAATCTTTCTATAATGAAACCCTTTTGATTGAATTAATAAAGGAACCCTCTTTTATTTGTTCTCTGCACAGTGCGATTGTTCATCATTTTTCCATCCAAAGAAATCATGAAACAAGGCATTTGAATCCCTTACAAATAGTTGCCTGAAAACAGTCTGCCGATTGGGATATCTCAATCGATCCTAGTAGATTTTGAAGCAACACCATCAAAACATAAACACATACTAATACACCAAAATATATATACACACACACTTGCACCAAAACACACACTGCCACACGACTACATCAAAATGCACGCGTACGTTGGGATCGAGTTTAGGTTGACGTTTGAGTCTATGTTCGAGGTCAAGTCTGTGTCCAGGGTCGGGTTTGGGTTCGAGTCAGAGTTCGAGGTCCAAGTCTAGTCCTCGTCGGGGTTGCGTTGAGTTTTGGGTTCGAGTCTTGGTCTAGGGTCAGGGTTGGGGTTAGGTCCGGGTTCAAGTGTGGGGTTCGAGTTTAGTCCTAGTCTGGTGTCAGGGTCTAAATCTAGGGTTGGGGTCGAGCCTTGGGTTAGGTGCAGGTTTAGCTTTGGGGTTGATCCTTCGGTCAAGTCCGGGTTTAGGTTCAGGGTCGGGTCTGGGTCTAGGGTTAGGGTCTAAGTCAAGTCTTGGTCTGGGCGGTGTCGAATCCTAGCCTAGGGTCAGGTCCGTGTTCGGGGTCTGAGTCGGGTCTTAGTTTAGGTCAGGTATGGGTCAGGGCCACTCCGGGGTTTGGGGTGGGGGTCGAGTCTGGGGCCAAGGTTAGGGTTCAAGTCCGGTGTGTGTGTATGTTTTAGTATAGTAGTTTGTGTATGTGTATGTGTATGTGTATCTTGGTATATTAGTATATATTTTAATGTGTGTGTGTGTGTGTGTGTTTTGGTATACTAGACGGGCCTAAGTTACAGTCCAACCCATCAAACAAATGTCAGGATGGAGTTCTTGCATCTAGATGGGCCAAAATTTATGTCCAAATTGTGTTTTTGTGCAAGACTCATATGACCTTCCTAGGGTTTTTTGATGTTCTGAATTTATTTTTAATATCTATTTTCACCCAAAAAAATCTTAATAAAATTACTTAATCACCTATTCTAGGCATAATTACTTCAAAATCTCAACATCTCTAACAACAAGGGTAGTAAAGTGGACATATAAATTATAGGGGTGACAATGATATTTTAGAAACCATAAGAGGTATCCCCGTAATTATGTCATTTTTCAAGGGTTGTTAGTAAAATTTACCGATTAATTAATTCTAAATTAAATTTCTTCATAATTTTTTTTAATGTGTACAATCACACTTTGAGCAAAAAAATAATTCTTAATCTTTTTGTGACGCCCAGTCGAGATTGTCCTCCATCTTGTTAAGAAATTGATTCTGAGAAAGAGTAAAAAATGTTTTTGTGTTATTATATTTTGTCTTTTGTATCAAATTGTATATGACTTAGTTATTGGCTACTAACTTACTCAGAAAAAAAATCAATAGAGCCTATATTTGCTCAAAAATTCAAAATCTTAATAAACAACAAAGAGTTCCTCAATTTGCTATACAAATTAAAATCTTAATAAAAAAAAAATCAAACACTCATGACAGTCAATTCCAACATTCCAGAAAGCCAGAAATTAGCTAGTGCTACTGTACTCGTACTCCTTTAATTGTTTCTTTCTCTGCAATTACAATTCACATGGTCTGACGAACAACAAGGAGGAGAAAGAGATGGGTTTTGGGTGGAGGTTAGTGAGGAGCTAGGAGAATAGAGAGAGACCTGAGAGAGAGAGTTGGGCTGTTCGATGGAGGTGGTGGCTGGTGATGGTGGTGGCACTCTGCCTTTCATCTCACCCGCTATTCTCCTGCTGTCATGCATCCTCACTTTCTCCTCCCTCATCCCAGCCTCTAGTCAGCCCGAGATTTTGAGAGATGTGTGTGGAAAAACAATGTTTCAGGGAATGATGTATTACTATTGAATCAATTTTGGAATAATCTCAATTGTCTATTCAACTTATGGGCATATAAATTATAATTTTTTTTTATCAGAATATAAATTCAAATTGGGAGCCCTTTTATAGGAAAGAAGATTACAGTTGTAAAGTTAAATAAGAGCTGCGATTTGGAACTCTATTCCACGTTCTTAATTACACATTCCACCTTTTATAAAATGCTAATTATTAAACAAATAAACTATTTACCCCGCACAACATGGTTTATGATGATGCACACAATTGATTTGCACACCACCTATCAATTAAACAATATAAAATGCAGTAAGTAGAGAGACAGAGAAGACAAGATTTATAGTGGTTCGGCCAATGAGACCTACGTCCACTT